AATTTTTTAATGTTTAAATATTTTTAATTTTTTGAAAATAAATTAAAAATTAAATTTTACCATGTCGCGTTGAACTACGTGAGGTATACGATGTATTAACGTTATGGTTAGGAGTTGCATAAATATTTGGGCGTGGTTGAGAATAAGCAAGTGGTAAAATTTGTCTGGTGGAAGTTTTTGTAGTCGCGTAATTGGTGGTTGTAGCCATTGGTTGCGAGGTTGATTTATTAACAATATTATTAATGCTGTTATTGATATTATTATTGATAATCGTGTTGGAAGTAATTGAAGTTGTATTAGTAGAAGGAATGTTTTCTGAAGGAATAGATTGTTGTGTAGAATAATGCTGTGAATTACTTTGTTGAGCTGGTGCTAACTGTTGTTGTTTTTGTTGCGTTGTAGTATTGATATTGTTAGTTGTAGTATTAGCAATTTGTGAAGATTGATTACGAAGGTTTTTACTAATACTATTATTATTGTTGCTGTTACTATTACTAGTACTGCTATTATTGTTGTTGTTGTTGTCGTTTAGAACTTTTGAAGTCATGATTCTAAAAGATTTATTACCAAAGCAAAGGTGAAGATGAATAATTTTAATGAAAATTTAACTGAAATTAAAATTGATTTGATTAATCAATTTTTGTTTAATTTTTCTATATTTATAAATAAATTTTTTTTTATGAAATAAGTAATTGATTTACGATAAATTTAATTTTATGTTTGATAAAAAAAATATTGTTATTTATTTCTAAATTTTTTGTTTTTTTTTTCAATTTTTTCAAATATATTTATTTAATTATATAAAAATCATGGAAAAATAATAAAAAAATAAAAAAAAAATTTTTTTTTATTTGTCTTTTTTACAAAAGCAATTTTGGTGTAACGGCAGAGTTCGTCATTTTGTATTAAATGTTAATGTACAATCCATTTTGGGGAGTGCCCCAATTGATATATTATATTATTTGGGGGGGGGAGGGAGTGAGCATAAAGTGAGATTATTATTATGTAAAAAGTGATAATTAAAAAATCAGTTGTCTCATAACGTGGGAGAAGGGGGTAACGTTTTTTTATTTGAGGCTTATGACGTCATTTGGGAACTCCCTAATTGGAAAAAAATCCTTTATTCCATAAGTTCCCTCTCTTATAGAAAACAAAAAAAAAATTTATTATGCTCAAGTATTTATTCCTTTAAGAAAAATGCCATTGACACCAAACGGTAAAGTTGACAAGAATTCATTACCATTTCCAGATACTGCCCAATTTACCACCAATACTTCAACAAATAATGACGGAAAGACAGCTCAACAAATGACAACAACAGAACAAACAGTTCATGAGATATGGTCACAACTTTTACCAAGTTCGCTAACACCTTCATTACCTTTAGACGAAAGTTTCTTTGATCTTGGCGGTCATTCAATTCTTGCTACAAGATTGATTTTTGAATTGAGAAAAAAATGCGGTGTTGAGATTCCATTACGATTGGTATTTGAAAAAACCACTATAAGTGAACAAGCCAAAGAAATTGATAATATATTAACAAGAGATTTTAACATTGCTAATGAGGAAGAACCCCAACTATCATTATTGCAAAAAAATAAAAACAAAACTCAACAAGATTCCAAAAACAACCAAAAAAAGGATCATGAAATTCAAAACGAATTTGATTACGCTAATGAGCTTGAATCATTAACAGCCGATTATCTTTTATCAAAATATGAACCTATCAATGAAGAAAATTTTTCAAGAAAAAATTTTTTTGTTACAGGAGTTACTGGATTTCTTGGTGCTTTCATAGTTTCAGATTTGCTCAGTTACCAGAAAGATGTAAAGGTAATTGCACATGTTCGTGCAAAAACAAAAACTCTTGCTTTTCAAAGAGTTAAAGAAAGTTTGAAGTTGCATTTAGTATGGAAAGATGAATGGGAATTGGAAGAGAGAATTGAGGTTGTTTGTGGAGATTTGGAAAAAGAAAGATTAGGTATTAGTGAAGAGGAATGGGAGCAACTTGCTAAAAAAGTTGATGTAATTGTAAAACGCATCAGGTGTCAATTTGTTTCTCTTTTTATCATGTATAAAGGAAAAAAATTGGACCAATTCCTTTTAGAAGCAAGCTGATGAAATAGAGCTGAAATTATCAACTCTACCCAGTTTAACAAAATGAGGCTTTTGTCATTTCTTAAAAATACTATCGATAATAATGTGATTTGAAAAAAAATCACACGCATTGCTTTTTTTTTCATGTGCGTGTCACATCTGTAATCATGATAATAGAAATTATCGATCAATAAGAATTTTTTTTTACTTCATAAAAGATGTGTGAAGAACGATTAAATCGTTGGAAACAAAGATTACAAAACTTGACAGAAATTCAGTTACCGACTGATTATCCACGAGAACTCCCACCAAAAACTGTTGAAGCCATTCAATCATTACATTTAACTGAAAAAACTGCTTTATCTGTATTAAATCTATCTCTTTCCATACCTTCTTCAAATCTCAATACAACAAAAGTTGAACATCCTTCTCCTTTCATAATACTTTTATCTGCTTTCACAATATTGTTACATAAATATACCGGCAATGAAGATATAGCAGTTGGTTCTTCCTCTGGTATTAGAAATCCACTTGTTTTAAGATTTTCAATAAGCCCAAACGATTCTTTTGAAGAAGTTGTATTGAAAATTCAACGAGTATGTATCATAATTAATATTTATATACAAATAATCATTCAATTATAGTCATTTACTTATTATTATTGTTATAATTTTGAAAGGTAGAACGTGAAGCAACTGATGATGAAGTTCCCTTTGAATTATTATTTCCAAGTTTATTTTCAGACACAAAACCACTTGATAGTAATTCAAAATCTTCTTTAAGAAAATCATCAATTAATGGATTAGCACAAAATTTAAAATCTCCATTTCGGGTTCGTTTTTTCAATCAAACTGATACTCCTGAAAATCCACATTTACAAGCTACCTCCTCCATTACCGATCTTACTGTATTCATCAATTCTCATTCGACTTCTTCACTTCGCCAAGCACTCTTACCCTCGATCGAAATACGAATCACCTACAATCAAATTTTATTTTCTGAAAAAAGAATCTCGCATATTCTAGATCAACTTGTCGCCGTCATCAATAATGCTGCTCAAAACAAACAAACCAAAATCTCTGATATGTCGATTCTAAATGATAGATGTCTCGGTATAATTCCTGATCCAAGTGCTGATTTAAAATGGTCAGAGTTTCGTGGTTCAATAACGGATATCTTTTCCAAAAACGCAAAAAATTTCCCAAAGAAACATTGTGTTGTCGAATCAACTGTTAGTGCTGGTGATTTACGTATATTTAATTATTGTCAAATTCATGAAGCTTCAAATATTGTTGCGCATTATTTATTAAAAAACGGAATTGAAAGAGAAGATGTTGTAATGATTTATGCGCATCGTAATGTAGAACTTGTAATTGCTATTATGGGTATTCTTAAAGCAGGAGCCACATTCAGTGTAATTGGTTAGTTGTTTAATTAACAGCTAATTTATAATTACATGCATATATATATTAATCAATTTTTTGGGGAATAAGATCCAGCTTACCCAGCCGATCGTCAAAATATTTATCTCTCTGTCGCTACTCCTCGCGGATTAATAGTTCTTGAAAAATCGGGATTATTGCATGAATCAGTCAGGTCGTATATTTATGAAAAGTTACAAATTAAATGTGAAATTCCAGGAATGAAAATATTAAATGATGGTCAATTGAAGGGTGGAAGTATTGATGATAATAATGTCGATATATTTGATTCAGTGCTTGAGTTGAAATCCCAAGATGTTGGTGTAGTTATTGGTCCCGATAGTATTGGAACTTTAAGTTTTACAAGTGGTAGTACTGGGACCCCAAAAGGTATTTAATTATAATTATATGATGAGTATTTCTCTAGTAATTTAAATATAAAAAAAAAACTTTTTTTTAACATAAAGGTGTACGTGGAAGACATTTTTCACTTACTCATTATTATCCATGGATGTCTAAAGTTTTTGAACTTTCTGAGAATGATAGATTTACTATGCTTAGCGGAATTGCACATGATCCTATACAACGTGACAGTAAGTTTAATTATTTTTTATATTTCAATTTATTTATAATAAAGCCAATTAACTAATCCTTTAAAATCATCTTTTTTCAAAGTATTTACGACATTATATCTTGGTGCTGAATTACATATACCAACTACTGAAGATATTAGTATTCCTGGTAAATTGGCATCATGGATGTCAAAACACCAAATCACTGTAACACATTTAACACCTGGTAATCAACCAATCAATATATATGTGTGTGTTATAAAAAAAATGAATTGATTAATTCTCTAATTCAAAAAAAAAATTAATAAATTTTTTTTAATATAGCTATGGGTCAATTACTTTCCACCAATGCTGTCACACTAATACCTACTTTACGCAATGCATTTTTTGTTGGTGACATTTTAACAAAACGCGATTGTAACCGTCTTCAACATCTCGCACATAACACTAGAATTATCAATATGTATGGAACAACTGAAACTCAACGTTCTGTCTCATATTTCCTCATCCCGCCACTTTCCATTGATTCAACATTTTTATCATCACAAAAAGATGTTATGCCAGCTGGTAAAGGAATGCAAAACGTTCAATTAATTATTGTAAACAGACATAAAAAAGATATTTTATGTGGTGTTGGTGAAATAGGTGAAATATACGTGAGAGCTGGCGGTTTATGTGAAGGTTATTTGAGACTTGATGAAGCTACCAAAGAAAAATTCTTGTATAATTGGTTTGTAGATAGTCCCCAAGAAATTGGAAAAAATGGAGAGGGGGGGGAGAAAGAGGAGGAATGGAGAAAATACTGGAAAGGAAAGAGAGATCGATTATATAAATCCGGTGATTTAGGAAGATATAGACCTGATGGAAATGGTTTGTTGTTGTTGTTGTTGTTATTTGTATAAATTTTTTTCTCTTCTTTTTTTTCTTTAACACACATGCATACACACCTATGTATATATGTAATCAGTGGAATGTGTTGGTAGAGCAGATCATCAAGTTAAAATTCGTGGATTTAGAATCGAACTTGAAGAGATTGACTCGCATCTTTCACAGCATCCACTTGTTAGAGAGAATGTTACATTAGTACGTAGAGACAAATATGAGGAACAAACATTAGTTAGTTATTTTGTACCTAATGAAGGTGATGGACTTGATGAATTCCTTAGCTCGACTGATGAAAGTGATAGTGTTGTCGAAAACCCTTTACAGGATCTTACTAAAAGAAGATATAGAAGACTTGTTAAACAAATTAGGGATTATTTAAAATTGAGATTGCCAATTTACAGTATACCAAGTGGTAAATAGATACATATTTGTTTATTTAATGATGATGATGATAATTTATTTTTTACAAGCATACAACTAATATTTTTTTAATTAAAAAAAAATAGTATTTATTCCTTTAAGAAAAATGCCATTGACACCAAACGGTAAAGTTGACAAGAATTCATTACCATTTCCAGATACTGCCCAATTTACCACCAATACTTCAACAAATAATGACGGAAAGACAGCTCAACAAATGACAACAACAGAACAAACAGTTCATGAGATATGGTCACAACTTTTACCAAGTTCGCTAACACCTTCATTACCTTTAGACGAAAGTTTCTTTGATCTTGGCGGTCATTCAATTCTTGCTACAAGATTGATTTTTGAATTGAGAAAAAAATGCGGTGTTGAGATTCCATTACGATTGGTATTTGAAAAAACCACTATAAGTGAACAAGCCAAAGAAATTGATAATATATTAACAAGAGATTTTAACATTGCTAATGAGGAAGAACCCCAACTATCATTATTGCAAAAAAATAAAAACAAAACTCAACAAGATTCCAAAAACAACCAAAAAAAGGATCATGAAATTCAAAACGAATTTGATTACGCTAATGAGCTTGAATCATTAACAGCCGATTATCTTTTATCAAAATATGAACCTATCAATGAAGAAAATTTTTCAAGAAAAAATTTTTTTGTTACAGGAGTTACTGGATTTCTTGGTGCTTTCATAGTTTCAGATTTGCTCAGTTACCAGAAAGATGTAAAGGTAATTGCACATGTTCGTGCAAAAACAAAAACTCTTGCTTTTCAAAGAGTTAAAGAAAGTTTGAAGTTGCATTTAGTATGGAAAGATGAATGGGAATTGGAAGAGAGAATTGAGGTTGTTTGTGGAGATTTGGAAAAAGAAAGATTAGGTATTAGTGAAGAGGAATGGGAGCAACTTGCTAAAAAAGTTGATGTAATTGTACATAACGGAGCTTTGGTTAGTTCCTATCTTTGTTTTGTACTGTTTTGTCATATTTAGCTAAATAATTAATCAAATGATTGGTTGATTAATTAATTATATATATAGGTACATTGGGTTTATCCATATTCAAAACTACGAGCTGCAAATGTAATTGGTACAATTTGGGCTATGAGACTTGCATCGACTCATCACACTAAATCTTTTAATTTTGTTAGTTCAACATCTGTACTTGATACAGACCATTATGTTAATCTCAGTGATTCAATAATTGGAAAAGGTGGAAAAGGTATTTATGAAAATGATGATTTGAACGGTAGTAGGGTAGGATTAAGAAATGGATACGGGCAATCTAAATGGGTTGCAGAAAAATTGATTATGGAAGCTCATAGTAGAGGACTCCCAGCAACAATTATTAGGCCTGGTTATGTTGTTGGACATTCTAAAACTGGTGGTATGTATAATTAATATGCATTATAATTATTTTGGATAAAATCAAAATATAATCTATTTTTTTTTCCTTATTTTTTACTAGTCACAAATACAGATGATTTTCTTTGGAGATTAGTTAAAGGATGTATTCAACTTGGTTTAATTCCAACCATTCATAATATAATTAACATGTGTCCAGTTGACTATGTATCTAATTGTATAGCGAGTGTTTCATTGTCACCATCAACATCTACATCAAAATTTATATTTCATATAACTCATCCATCAAATCCATCATTTAGGTTTGAAAATTTATTTAATGCATTACCACTTTACGGATACGAAGTTAAAAAAATTGAATATATTATATGGAGAGATAGGTTAATGGAATTCACATTGAAAGCTCAAGATAATGCTTTATATCCTTTGCTACATTTTGTTCTTGATGATTTACCAGCATCAACCAAATCTCCTGAATTGGATGACAGCAATACACAAGAAATTATTGCCAGCAAGGAGGAAAAATTTCAAGGTATAGATGAGAAATTAATGGGTATTTATTTAGGATATTTGGTTAAAGTGGGATTTTTAGATAAACCGCAAAAAAACCCCGGTGAATTGATAGTAAATGATAATGATAATATTAATAAGGAAAACAGCAGTAGTGAGAAAACTGATATAAATAAAAAATCAATTCAAAGAGTTTTGGAATTACCAGATGTTTCTGCTGCTATTAATGACATCAAAGCATTGAAAAGAAGTGATAGAAGTTAGAAATTATTGATAATCTTTTGATTTGTATATTTATTATTTAATATTTAAATGTTTGAAGAAACTAAAATAAATAGATTATTGGGTGTAATTAAATCAAAATTAAAATTATGGGGGTTTTTTACACATTATTTGTTGACTGACAATTTCGACAGACGATTAACATTAATGCAGTTCTTTAGAATATGATGAATTGATCTACACACTCCATCTTATTGTTACGCGTAATAAACAAGATATTATTTTTTTATGGCTATATGATTGGATACATATTAAAAAAAGATTCTGCAATAGTAAACATCTTACTAAAACGAGTTTTGGGTATATAGCCTTTGTATGAGGTTAATGACTTAAATTGGTTAACCAGTCGATCACTATTTAAAGTCACATGATTTCCCTCTACCTTTAATTCGTGATACGTGAAACAACTGCAATAATTTCATAATAGAATTTGGCGCAAATTTTCGCAGATCACTAATTGAAATTTTCCGGAACCCATACTTCATTCCTAAAAAACTACTATTTATACGAATTTATAAATTGTATTTGCAAATGTAATAAATAGTAAGAAACCCAAAGTTTTAATATACAAATTTTCAAATGGACTTTCTTATAAAATATTTTATCTTTATATGGAGGGACCGCTGGATTCTTGCCTAAAATTGCTATATAAAACTTAAGATTCAAGTATAATATTTAATTATTTATTCAAGAAAAAAAATATAAATAAGCGTTTGTAATTAGTTTTATTCAAAAAAAAAAGAAATATAAATAGATGTTTGGTTACTTTGAAAAGTTTAAATTTTAAATTTTTATGTCGCGCGTAATCATGCTTAATCACGTGAGGACGGTCATATTCCAAAAATTCTAAAAATTATATATATTGTTTATTATTGCCACAAAATTATACTAACGATCGGCAAAATTTTGCAGTTGTCTCACGGAGCACGAATTAAAGAACTACATTTTTCTGGTAACTTACTTTCTTTATTATTTTAGTATAGTAATAATAATTTAACTCTATGCATATACCCTTCCTCCCTCGAAGCTTACTGGAGCAAAGATCCATATCTATGGGGTAGTGTCTGCAATTGGGATATATTTTTTATCAAAACGTTACCTGGTGTTAGTAGACACAAATCACATAATTCATTTGCTGATGAGCTAAAAATTCTCATGAAGTGACTATTTATGTAATTTTGAATTGCTGTGGGCATTTTTTTAAAAAAATTAAAATTTACAAATTAGTCTAATGTTGAAGATATTGACACTGCAAGCATTATTCCTTTTTACATATCTCAACTTTCTGGAGCTCTGCAAAATTTACAAAACTACTATTCACTTCATTTGGATTATGCATCCAGATTTTTCATGCCATATTGATGATCTTCCAATCTTAAACACAGAAAGTAAAACCATTGAGATATACCCAATTCCAAAAACCAAAGGATTTCATAAAAGCTTGTTTATGTGCAAAAAAAAACAATTGGGTTAATTGATCAAAGGGATGGGCCTTACAAATCATTGTGTTTATTAAATATGGGAGGTAAATGTCCTATTGTAAGATTATTTATTTTCATTTAAAAATTAACATTTATTTAATAATCTTGGTGTAAAAACTAGTACCGTAAATTATGATGATGGTAGTAATTATATTTATGGCATATAAAAAGTGGTTGCAATTATCTTTGCAACCACTTTTGCAACCATACTTTTTCCTTTTTCGGATTACGGCAATAGTCTTTATCTTGGTGTATACATTGAATCTTTCATAACGGATTTGGATGTAGATGGTGTATATAGAGCATTTCCTTTTATGAAATCCATTTTATCAATTGATAAACCATCAGTTATGTCATTGTCTCTTACTTTAGCACACCCAATAGCATTACAGGTATAGAAAATGCTTACAAGTTTTTTTTTTTTACTCTTATATTAAAGTTAAAGAGTGTTTATTTTAAAAGACTATCATTTTTTTTTGCCTCCATGATCTGTGTAACTCTCTGATACAACAATGATAATAATTAATAATGCACTTGTTTTCCCATATTAACTATATTATGGTCACATTACATTGATAATACAATTGTGATGTTAAACAAACAATATTAATCCCTGAAAATTTTGATAACACCAATGTTCACTTTGTCTAGTATGCCCCATATAACATTAAGAAGTTCTGTCTAAAAAAAATAATATACAAGGAAAAAACATATATATATATATTAAAAATTAAAAATTAAAAATTAAAATTAAACAAAAAAATTTCTATTTTAATCTATTATTAATTAAACTAACACAATTTAAAAAATGTATGACCCAAACTCCCATTTAATCTAACTTAATATAATTCTATTATAATAATAATCCAAAAGATGAAAATAAATTAGAATGAGCTTCTTTGATATTGATATAGTGCATTGTTATCATCATTATTGTTTGTATGAGGATTTAATTGAGGAGCTGAATTATTATTATGCTCTTCATAATAAATTTGATGATGATAGATTTGTGGTTGTTGCAATTGATAACTTTGATTCTCTTGATCTTGATAAGTCAATACTGGTTGTTCTTGATATATTTGTTGTATTGGCTGTTCTTGATATATTGACTGTATTGGTTGTTCTTGATATGTTGGTTGTATTGGTTGTTCTTGATATATCGGCTGTATTGATTGTTCTTGATAAACTTGTGCCACTTGATAATTTTGTTCCTCTTGATAGAATACTGGTTGTTCTTGATATATTTGTTGTATTGGCTGTTCTTGATATATTGACTGTATTGGTTGTTCTTGATATGT